CATTAGGTAAGGACAACAGACTTCCTTTCACACCTGTCTTTTTCCACAATAACCTCTCCCAAATATGTCTGAAACATTCAGTTTCTCTTTTAGATTTTCACCCTACTATTTGGAAAATAATCTGGATCCTACTTTCTATAATTTGTTCCCAAATCGCTTTGCCTCTTCAGCTGTCCCTTCCTGTTTCATTTTACACATCCAGGTCAATATTTCTACCTCCAGACTGTTATAAAACCTGGCAAACTTAAGCGTGAGCCTACCTCCTACCATGTAATAATACCTCAAAAAAATCACCACATGTCGTTATTTAAAAATGCAATTTCATTTCTTTGGTTGAAGTAAATAGGTAGCCTATATGATGATAATACAAGTTCCATGGCTGAAGACCACTTTTAGATTAGATTGTGAACAATCCAAAGGAAATCTTATGATAACCTAAGGTTGAAATTACAGCCATGTTTAATTAATTTGTGTAAAATTCCGGAACTAAACACTGGGTACAATTGCATTTGAGGCTTTGAATTATTGTTCAAAGCATTCCAGATTCAAATTGAACACTAATTTGTTAAAGATGAGTTTTAACTTTATTTTTTAGCTATTCAAAGGATAATAGGAATGAGTAACTTAACCACTAAAACATTTTAGAAATTATAAATATATATGTAACTTAATACTAATTGTCATCTTGTAAAATCATTACGTTGTACCTTAAAACATCTATAATTACGAGCAGCATGCTATTGTAAAGGCAGGATGAATTGAAAAAAGCAAATCAGAAAATACTGGGAATACTCAGCAGTTCAGGCAACATCTGTGAAGAGAGAAACAAATAACTTTACAGAGTCAATACAGTGTGGAGCTGGAGGAACAAAGCAGGTCAGGCAGCATCAGAGGAGCAGGAAAGTCGACGTTTCGGATTTACACCCTTCATCAGGACTAGGGAGGGAGAAGGGAGCTCAGAAATAAATGGGGGTGTGGGGCTGGGCGAAGGTAGGTGGGAAGGTGATGGGTGGATGCACATAGAGGGTTGTGGAGATTGGTCAGTGGGAAGGGTGTGGTGGATAGGTGGGAGAGAAGATGGACAGGTTGTGTCAGGTCAGGGAGGTGGGAATGAGAGGGAGGGTTGTACGTCGATGAGGCCGGGGTGGGGAGATTTTGAAACTGGTGAATTCTATGTTGAGGCCTTTGGGCTTTCATCAGAATTGGAAAATGGAATACATTCTTTGATTCATTATTTTTAATTTCATTTTAATATGCACTATCCTCTTAGTATAATTTCTTACTTGTGTAAAAATTGTAAGATGGTGGATAGAAAGATGTGTTCTAATTTTTTTTTCGTTCATAGAAAATATCACTGAAGGGAGAATGAATGCACATAAGTAGTCAGTTTGAACTTTCAAATGACCCATCCTTCTGTATCTGCATCCAGGCTGGAAGTGATGCTTATCAGCATTAATTCAGTGGATTCGCTAACCTGAAATGACACATCTATAGCTTAGTGGAAACAAAATGAAAGGAACGTAATTTCTTCTAAAGTTTTTTTTAAAATGTACTGTGGACTAAATTAGGTGTTTTTAATTTGATTAAGGACTATGTTTATTTTCCGTGTGACTGATACACCAGTTGACCAGAGAATGTGTGACATTTTTGATGTTTATGGAGTGTCTACACTCTGATTTATTTCCTTCATTATATCATTAAGAATTACGGATCTGTTTGGTTTTGGCTGGCAGATCCTACTGCTTCATTTAACTTAGTGCAAACTTAAGTTGTCTTTCAGCCAGATAAATTGCATAATACTTCACTCTGCTAATAAATTATGCTTTTGAAAACAATCTATATTATATGAAATTTCAAAGTGATGCACTTTAATATGGTTTGGATAATGATGTGAATTCCTTATCAGTTCCCAAAAAAATTAAACTAAATCCTTTAAAGAGGGACGTCTGCACTGACACCATTGTTTTGTTTGTACTCTCTTCTTACTTTTGCTAAAGGTGAATTGCTCGTTCAATAAACCTTACTTTTTCCTGTTATCACAGCAGAGAACTCTGGCTGGCAACTTGATCTGGTTATTGCAGTGTCAAATTGACAGCTTTCATAAAGAAAACTTCACACGGATTTTACAGTGTAACCCTTCTATCTCTGACAAAGATCAGGATTTGCAGCATCAGAAGCTTAAATCTCCATTTTATCTCTATGGTACTCGTGTTGGTGCCCCAATATATTGTACTGCTGTTGGGCTAATTTTTTAAAATGTTTATTTTTAAAAATGTCAGTAACTGTCATATTCATCACTTAATAGAGTCATAAAGCACGGAAACAGACCATCCTTTCCAACTTGTCCATGCTGACCAAGTTTCTCAAACTAAATAAGTCCCACCTGCCTGTGTTTGGCCCATATTCCTCCTCCTCTTCCTATGTACCTGTCCAAATGTCTTTTAAATGTTGTACTTTACTTGTATCTACCAATTCCACTGGCAATTCATTCACATAACATATGAACCACCCTCTGTGTGAAAAAGTTGCCTCCAGGTCCCTTTTAAATCTTTCTCCTCTCACCTTAAAAATATGCCTCCTAATTTTGAAACCCTCCTCCCTTTGCTAATCGCCTTATCTATGCCCCTCATGATTTTATAAACCTCTGTAAGGTCACCCTTCAACCTCCTATACTTCAGTGAAAAGTTCCAGTTTGTCCAGCCTCTCCTTATAACTCAAATCGTCCAGTCCTGGTAACATCCTTCTAAATCTTTTTCTGCACCCTCTCCAATTTTGTAATATCCTTCCTATAGCAGGACAACCAGAAAAATACGCAGTACTCCAAAAGTGGCCTCACCAATGTCCTGTACACCGTCAACGTGACATCCCAACTCCTATACTCGATGGTCTGAGCAATGAAGGCCAACTGCCTTCTTAATCACCCTATCCACCTGTGATACAACTTTCAAAGAACTATGTACCTGAACCCCAGATCCCTCTGTTTGACAACACTACTCTGGGCCTGACGATTAACTGTATAAGTCCTGTGCTTGTTGATTTTACCAAAATGCAATACCTCGCATTTATCCTAATTAAACTCCATCAGCCCCTCCTCAGCCTATTGGCCCACCTGATCAAGATTCCTTTGTAATCTTCGATAAACCTTCGCTGTTGACTATGCCACCAAGTTTTTAAAATTAATTTTTGTGACATAAGGTGTAGAAACAAACGATGTTAAACTTGATGTATTAAGTATTGAAACTGTACAGTATCGTTTAACATGAGAAATGAAGCACCTAAGCACTTGGCATGAATTGGCGAGGAGCAAATTGGTGCCTAGTATGGGTTGTCATATTGATGCAACATGTCGCAATATGCAATCTGAAGTGAAAGTTTATATGAGCTGTTGATAGTTGCCAGTTGTTCCAATAAGATTTCTGACCATCTTGATCTGTTAGTAACCACTTCACTGAATTGTGCAATGGCAAAACACAGTTTAATTGCTGCTTGTTTTCCTGTTACTGATAAGCTCGTGCTAGTAGTGCAGGCACCACCAAGACAGGAGCAAAAAGGAGTACAACCTGCATAAATGGTAGCTAGTGCTGATAAATCATAGAAACTTAGTTGTTTTAGCTGATGTTAGTTTGATGTCATTGCTCGATAGATGTGCTAGATATTAGATATTGGGGCTGATTTTTGTACATGACCAAAGAATAAGAATTTGTTACTACTTTTGAGTATGCTGGAGAGATCCCTTTTTTAATTCTTTGAAACATGTTGTGAATCTGAGCTTCTGTTTTTAGGTCAGCGTGTATTAATTATCCACAAAATAATAGAATTCACTGGTTTGAAATGTTAACTCTGCTTTCTTCTCACAGATGCTGCTAGACCTGCTGAGTTTCACCAGCAATTTCTGATTTAATTATGCACAAGATGATTTGTTGATTAAGTTATTAAGATACATTTTGGTGCACAATACCCAATTAAACCCTATCATCATATTTTATAAAACAGCCAACAGTTTGCATTAATGTAGCCTGTCCCTGAGTCAGTCGATTGTACCGAGACCTGAGCATATAAACCAGGATGACGCTACAATACATATTGAGGGAGAATTTTGTTATCATTATTCGTTGGCTGAAACTTTGTGTCCAGATGAGTAAAAAAGGTCTGATGGAACATAAGCATCTGAGCAGCATGGACGTCTCCTAATCATTTATGTATCTGTCAATGTAACAAAGAGCAGAATGCCAATTTATTCATCTCATTTGCTCTTTTCAGGATTTGGCTGTGTGCAAAATGATTGTTTTGACACTAAGACAAAACTGTTTCACAGTCCATTTAAGTTCTGTGTCCCATTCTGTTTGAAGGGCACTATATGACTACATTTAGAGTCATAGAGTTTACAACCTGGAAGAGGCCAGTCTATGCCATTCATCAAGAAACTATCCACTCTAGTTCATTTTCCAGCACTTGGCCCACAGACTTGCATGCTATGGCAATTCAAGTGTTTATCTAAATAATTCTGAAATGTTATGATAGTTTCCACCCTTACCATCCTTCAAGGCACTGAGTTCCAGATTCTCATCACCCTCTGAGTGAAAGAAGTCCTACTAAATCTCCAGCACCCTTAATCTTAAATCTATGCCCCACCACTGGTCATTGATCCCTCTACTAATTGTGAAGAGTTTCTTCCAATCTATCCTATCTATGCCCCTCCATTTTATACACTTAAGGTTCCCCATCAGCTTTCTCTGCTCTGAGGAAAATAGCCTAGCTTGTTTAACCTCTTTTCATAGCTGAATCAGGCCAGGCAACATTCTTGTGTATCTGTTTTGCCCCTTCTCTAGTGAAATTTTTCCTATAGTGTGCCAACTCTGTTCGTGTAGTCAGTGCCTTGACTGAATTTCTATTCTATCTTTTTTTCTTCTTTTGGTCCTTCCTAGTGTCAATTTCTGCAGTTTCTAGACAAAGCCAACATATTCAACAAAAAAATTGAAAAGTTGTTTTTCTTTTCACAGACCGACATTTTGGTAGTCAGTTGTGATCTCATTACTGATGCAGCTCTACATGAGGTGATAGACCTGTTCCGTGCATACGATGCCACAGTGTCGATGCTGATGCGTAAGGCACATGAGTTTACTGAACCTGTGCCAGGCCAGAAAGGGAAAAATAAAGAAGGTAAAGTTTTCTCAGGATGAAAAAATATGAGCAATTGATTCTTGAACATATCAGCAGGTGGTCTAGCATAAGTACACAGACCCATTGTGGAAGTCTGAACAATGTTGTATCAAAAATGTTATAGAATTGTCTGTGTACTCAAAAGTAATTATCTAATTCTTTCCTTGCCACCAGGTGTAAAACTGTTTGAGAAGATTTGTTCATTCCATGTTCTTTGTGGCTTCATTTCGATCACTAAAATAGAAATTCTCATTACATTTTCTCAGACTCGAAATATTAACTCTGTTTCTCTCTCGACAGAAAAAAATGCTAAGTTTCTCCCACACTTTCTTTTTGTTTCAGACTTCTAGCATCCACAGTGTTTTGTTTTTAGTTGAAGTTAATGAAGTACTTTTGGAATAAAGTCACTGATATTGCTGAAACTTTATCCTACACGGTTCGGAATAAATATGAATGCCATATTTCAAGTGATGGCAACAGTTTATGTTACAGGAGAAATAGATGAGTTGATTGGTTGGCAAATGGACTGTGACTGAGGCATTTCAAAAAAGCATACGGCTCTAACGCATTCCTTTTGTTTGCTCAAAATGAAACCTCCTGCATAGAATGAACCAAGCTTCACTCAATATCTTAAATTGCTGTTAGTGCAGTCATTAGCGATTTACTGACTGAACAATCATGGAATTACATCCAAGAGTTTTGTTTTGGATTTCGCAAGTGTGGATTGGTTGAGTGCTCTGCTTATTTCCAACAGCCAGAGAAACATGACTGACTTGATAGGCTGTATATTTCAATGATTGGCCAATTTTCCTGTCTTCGCACCAGCACTGAAATACGTAGAAAGAGCATCTTTTTGGACTGGCAGCAGCCACTTGTACTACCACTGTATATTAGTAGTGTAAAATGACTGACATAATGTGCTGTTCAAATTCAAAGTCATTAATGTAATGTAGCTGATTGCAGCTGTAAATTTTTGCCCAGTAAGGTCCAACAAACTGCAGTGAGAAAATTGGCCAGATAATCAGTTCTGGAGGTGTGGTTGGATAAATAATTGTAGGAAACTCGGAGAGCTCCATTGCTCAGATAGTACCATAGGATCTTTTACATCCATCTGAGGGTAACTGAGACCTTGGCTTAACATCTCATCTGAAAGGTATCAGTTCCAACCATGCAAGACTCCTTGGGTACTCTGATATAACAAGGTGTCGAGCTGGAGGAAGCATTTCTGAAGAAGGGTCCAGACCCGAAACATCAGCTTTCCTGGTCCAGACCCGAAACATCAGCTTTCCTGCTCCTCTGATGCTGCCTGGCCTGCTGTGTTCCTCCAGCTCGACACCTTGTTATCTCAGACTCCAGCAAGCATCGGCAGTTCCCACTATCTCCTTGGGTACTCTGATTTATCATCCCAGATGATATGCTTCAGTCTGTGCAATATCATTTGAATTCTGGATTTACAGAATGTTATCAGTGAACAAGATTGACAGTTATAGTTGAAGCCATTTGATTCATTTTAAGTTTGTTTTGTTCATTCATGGGATGTGGTTTTCACTGGCTAGGCCAGCATTAACTGTCCAGCCAATGTTGCTGGTGGGAAGGTGGTGGTGAGCTGCCTTCTTGAACTACTACAGTATACCTATTGTTGGAAATTGGGGACATCTTTAAAATTGAATTGTTTTATTATTCCATATTCAGTATTTTCTATATGCCCTCTGTGTTACAGCAGTGAGTAGCGTTCTACAAATATAAACCGATCTCTGGTATAAGATCAGCAAGGCCACCTATATTTGGAAGCACAGGAGGTGGGGGCGATACTAAATGAGTATTTTGCATCAGTGTTCACTGTGGAGAAGGATATGGAAGCTAGAGAACTTGGGAAAATAAATAGTGACATCTTGAAAAATGTCCATATTACAGAGGAGGAGGTGCTGAATGTCTTAAAACGCATAAAGGTGGATAAATCCCTGGAACCTGATCAGGTGTACCTTAGAACTTTGTGGGAAGCTAGGGAAGCGATCACTGGGCCCCATGCTGAGATATTTGTATCATCGATAGCCACAGGTGAGGTGCCGCAAAACTGGAAGTTGCCTAATATGGTGTCACTATTTAAGAAAGGTAGTAAGGAAAAGTCAGGGAACTATAGATTGGTGAGCCTGACATCATTAGTGGGCTAGTTGTTTAAGGGAATCCTGAGGGACAGGATTTACATGTATTTGGAAAGGAAAGGACTGATTAGCGACGTGCATGGGAAATCATGTCTCACTAGCTTAATTGAGTTTTTTGAAGAAGTAGCGAAGAGGATCGATGAAGGCGGAGTGGTGGACATGATCTATGTGGGCCCCAGTAAGATGTTTAACAAGGTTCCTCATGGTAGATTAGTTAGCAAGGTTAGATCATGTGGAACGTAGGGAGAACTCGGCATTTGGATACAGAACTGGCTCGAAGGTAGGAGACAGAAGGTGGTGGTTGAGGGTTGCTTTTCAGACTGGAGGCCTGTGATCAGTGATGCGCCACAAGGATTGGTGCTGGGTCCACTGCTTTTTGTAATTTGTATAAATGATTTGGGTGTGAACATAGGAGGTGTGGTAGTAAGTTTGCCGATGACAACAAAATTGGAGGTGTAGTGGGCAGCGAAGAACGTTACCTCAGAGCACAACGGGATCTTGATCAGATGGCCAGTGGCAGATGGAGTTTAATTTAGATAAATGTGAGATGCTGCATTTTGGAAAGGCAAATCAGGGCAGGACTGATACAATAATGGTAAGGTCCTGGAGAATGTTGCCAGACAAAGAGACCTCGGAGTTCTAGGATTTTGACCCAGTGACACTGAAGGAAGGCCGATATATTTCCAAGTCAGGATGGGTGACAGACTTGGAGGGGAACTTGCAGGTGGTGGTGTTTCCATATATCTGCTGCCCTAGTACTCCTAGATGGAAGTGTTCACGGGTTTGGAAGAAGCTGTTGAAGGACCCTTGGTGAATGTCATCATCCAGATATGTTTCTGCCCTGCATTACTGTACCCATTTATTTCATAAGTTATTTTTGGGGTTTTGCTTCTACAAACCAATTACATGTATTGAGAGTAATCAAGACTTGAAATGTTAGCTTGCTTTCTCTGCAGAGGTGCTGCCTGACCTGCTGTGATCCCCAGCATTTTTTGTTTTCAGTGCATGTATTCGTTTTGTGTAAAGAAATGTCTGATGTATATTATTGGCTTGAACCTGTGATCCTCATTCTACTCTCAAAAAATTAAAATAATTTCCAGATAAGCTCTTTCGAAGCTGTTACAATTCTCTAATACCTTCTTTCAATAATAAAGGGAAGATACTTCTCCAGTTTTTCTACCTAACTAGAATCACTAAGACTGGATCTCAACCATGCAGATGATTCTCTACACTGACCCTGATTTTTGAGTGTCTTTGTGTCACCAGGTGGACGTGTAAAGGTGTGGTCTTAGAGCACCATTCAGTTTGATAACACTTTGACCGCAATGATTTCAAGGAAAACCATCATCCTAGCAATTAAACTAAATGAAACTTTAACTTTTATTTCTATGAGACCTCATGATTCACTTAATCATTTCACATAAAAGTTATGGTTTTCAGGAATGCAATCACAATATTAAATAAGTTTACCTCTATTCCATTGATTTTTATGGTCATCCTCTCACCTTGCACTTTCTGTAAGCAAAAATTGCTACCTAAATCCTAACTCCATTGAAAAGAACAAAGGAGAAAGTGCATTTGCACCCCACCACCTTCAGGTTCCCTTCAAAGTCAAGATATCCTTGCTTGGCAATAAATTACCATTTCTTCACTTTTGTTGGATTAAAATCCTACCACTCCTACCTAACAGCAGTGTGGGTGATTTATTTATTAATTTATTGTCACGTGTACCTAAGTATAGTGGAAAGTTTTGTTTACAAGCAGTACAGGCAGATCATAGTAAGCAAGGGCATACAGATCATAGGGTGGAAAAGAAAATCTGGACAGAGGCATACAAGTTATATTGCACAGGGCATATGCTAGGCCTCATGGGTCCTGCTGGAAGCCAGTAGGTTTGTCCTGGGACTGCAAGTCCAGCATCGACAGTAGTCAGGCCTGGGTTACCGTCAGATCTCCAAACCTTTAAGTAAATTTTAAAGAATATTGCTAGTAATTTTACAGATTCAGAATTTAACTTTAAAAGTGTAGAACGGTTATTAGAAATGTTAGAATTAGATCTGCTGTGGGGAGCTCGCAAGGAGTTGCACGGTGTCGGCGCCATCTGTATATTCACAACATGGATTGCGACAGTTCAAGAAGGTGGCACAGCATTATCAGCTAAGAGCAATGAGGGATGGACAATAAATACCAGTATTCCATGAGTGAAGTTTTAAAAAATTAATTCACCCACCACTTCTCTGCCTGCTAGCCTCCTTTGGCACCTGGCCTGACGATGCCAATGCTTTGAAATTCTCCTCCTTTCAAATATTTCTTGGATTTGCCTGTACTGTCTCAGAACCATCCTTCAGATTTCCAAGAATTATGTGCTGCTTCAATATTGGCCTCTTGCACATCCCACTTTCCATCTCTGCAGTTGGCAATCATACCTTCAGCTCCCATTCCTAAACTTATCCAATACTGTTGTACAGATTGGGTATCCACTACAATCCAATTTATTTTGTTACATCCAAAGCCAAAAAGACCTAAAAACTGAAGGTCTTTTTGGTAGTGGACCCAAACAGACCTGTCGACACTATGTAGATCCATTCGGGTTAAGCAAAGCTTTTTTCCAAAGGGCCTGAACAGACCCAAACAGACCCAAATGTAGTGAGTGCAAAAAATGAGCATATCTTTTATCTCAAACCCTGTTGATCCCAAGGCATTCAAATGAGGGATTCCCAATCTGTTGTCCTAAATTGGACTATTCTGTTGCAGTTCCGTCTGGAAACAGATCCTCTCAAGGTTACTTCCATATGTGTTACATTTTTAAGATGTTTACATTTATTGCTACTCTTAATCCCTCCCTTGTTGCAGTCTGAACTGCCTAGTTGAGGATCAGATTACTTTGTACAATTCCTATCCGGTGATGTCATTTGGGAGTACTGCCCACTGTTCACACTCATGATGTCATTGTTGCATGATGTTTGGACATAAGATACCTATAGCACATATCAATATTTGTGTACATACCTTCCTTTACATTACTTGAATATATTAATTTGGATGACTTCCGTTACTATTCTTGGCATCAAGTAAATCATGGACAGGAAAAGACTGTATGATCCATCAAGCCTGTCTTTCTCTCAGTCATGATGCAGTATAGTCTTGTGAAAGGCATAAGTAAACTTAAAAAATCTCAGGACAATACAAGAAGAAAAAAAATCTGAAATACTCACCTCTGACCATGCTTTTATATTACCTTGAATTATTTACAGAGTACATGTATGAAATTTGTGCCATAGATTTACAACCATCTGCAAAATGAAATCTCCTAACAGCACTGTCTTTGCAAAATTTGCACATGACCTCTGAGCTTTCCTAATCTATCACTGATAACCCAATGTACTCTTTTTAACTATCTTAAAGTTCTGTGAGATCTCCATGGAACTTAGGCATTTCTACTATTAATATAACTGGCATTTTCAAGCCTATATGAGTAACAAAGGTTGTTCAAATTAGAAATCATTCTTGTGGCCCTCCTCTGAATCATTTCTGAAGCCTCTACATCACCCAGAAGTATTGAATGATGTAGCTGAAATGACAAGATTTGTTTTTTTCTTTGGTTGATGTGCACAGCCGAACAAAGGGACTTTGTTGGAGTTGATGACACGTGCAAACGTCTACTTTTCATGGCTAACGAAGCTGACTTGGATGACGAGCTTGTCATTAAGAAGTCCTTGATGCAGAAGTAAGTAATTACAGCACTTTTTCTATTCTGTTTCTTTATTTCTTTAAACCAAGTACTAATAGGTTCAAATAAATGTGGACTAATAACATGTGACATGCCTGCATTTACTCTCGACAAGAAAAATTTGATCTCTTCCTGTTGGGAAAATTGAATTCTACATAAATCACTTAATGGTTTGATCATCTCCCATCAAACAGGATAGTTCCTTGGCTACTGAAAGAGAAAATTAGATGAGAAAACTAAATTGAAAGCAGCATGGCATGAAATGGTTACTGTGCCAGTAAGGTGAGAGAGTACCTTTAAAATCAACGAGAAATTGACACTTACTCCTTAAAGAAACTGCCCTTAAAACAATCAGGATTGAGTGAAACATCGATACATGCCAAGTGAGCAAAATTAAAGTAAAAGAAGGAAAAAAACTTGGATTTGGATGATTAATGTATGAGAAATAAGAACACCTAGTAAGAAGTATCTTAAAGATGGATGTTGGGAAGTTAGCATTGTAACCGCAGCTGCAGGACTGTGAGATGATATGGAGTCATAGAGCACACAGCACGGATGCAGGCCCTCCGACCCGACTCGCCCATGTTGATCAGGTTTCCTAAACTTGAACTAGTCCTATTTGCCTGCGTTTAGCCCATATCCCTCTGAATCTTACCTATTCATATACGTATCCAAAAGTCTTTTAAATGTTGTAATATCACCCACCTCTACCATTTCCTCTGGCAGCTCATTCCATATATGCATCACACTCTGTGTGAAAGCTCTCTGTGTGCCCCTCAGGTTCTTTTTAAATCTTTACCCTCTCACCTTAAACCTATGCCCTCTCATTTTCAACTCCCCTGCCCTAGGGAAAAGACAGTGGCTATTCACTTTATTTATGTTACTCATGATTTTATAAACCTCTAAGTTCACCCCTCAGCCTTTACTCTTAAAGTTCTGAAGATCCCTGGATCTGAAATATTTGATTTCTGTCCACAGAAGCTGCAAAACCTGCTGAGTTTCTCCAGCTATTTCTGTTTTTGCTTAGATTTATTACAGTCAGCCTTTTGATTCTGTCAGATTTAATATTCATTTGGCCAGTTTATTATCATGGAAGCTATATCAAAACAAATCTAGTTCTTACAACTAGACTATTGGTCCTATACTTCACTGACATTGCTTCGTTACTACTGTTCTGTGGCAGACTGGATGCATTGTGAAGGGAGAATAGCATTTACAAATGAGTACTGTGGGTCCAGCAGTGCCAGCCTGAATACAGCTTTGTTCCCCTAAATCCATGCATGACCATCCATATTTTTACAAGCTTTTCATAAACCAGCTCATTCACAGGTTGTAAAGAAAAAAAAAAAAAATCTTTGAAAGATCCATGCTTGCTTTTCCAGATGGGATGACATTGGCTGTACGTTATTTTTTTAAAGGCAACATACAGAGGAACCACATCCTACTAAGCTAGAATTGTTTATGTTTTAATGTATACAAATATACACAAGTGTACAAAAACTGACAGTTTACCCTATTTACTGGATGATTGCTTTGAGTGCATAATGATTTTGGCTTTAGAGCAATAATTCTAACACTTCACTGCTCAAGGCACCTTTCAAGAATGTTGAACAATTTATCTTTCAATGCTGGTGTCAAAAGGTGCAAGCATGTAATTCACATGCTGTCAGTAAGACACAGGGTACCAGATCGGAGGGCATTTAAGTGCTCACCATTTTTTTATGGGACTGAATATATGGACTAAAGATTTTACAGAATCTCAGAATTGTTGCGGTGCAGAATGAGGCCTTTCAGCCCATCATGTCTGCACCAGCTTCCGAGCATTTCAACTTAGTGTCCAGCCCCAACATTATTTCTATTTAAATAAACATTTACTACCCTCTTTACAGCCTCAATTGAAATTGCCTCCACTGCAATTCCAGGCAACGTTTTCCAAAGCCGTGACCGCTGATTGTGTGAAACGTTTTTCTCACTTCGCACTTCCTTCTTTTGCAAAACATTTCAAAACTGTGCCCTCTGGTTCTTCATCATTTTATGGGTAGCAACAGTTTGTCCCTCTTGACCCTATACAGACTGCTTATGCTTTTGAAAACCTTGATCAGATCTCTCAGCCTTTTCCTCTCTGTGTGCAACAGTCCCAACTTCTCCAGTCTGTCTTCATAACTGCAGTTTCTTATTCCTGGAAATATTCTTCTAAACCTCTGCTGTACTCTTGCCAATGCTACACATTGTTTCTAAAGTGTGGCAGCCAGAATGGCACGCAGTGCTACAGCTGAGGTCTAAATAGTGTCCTAAGCAAGCTCAGCATGATCTCCCTGCACTTATCCTCTCTGTCCTTGTTAATAAAACTTTGAATACTGTGTTTGCTTCAGTTGGTTCCTTCACTCATCCTGCTACCTTTGATGACTAATGCTCCTGTACACCCCTTAGATTAGTACTTTTTTATTTTATACAGTCTCTCCATTTTCTTTGAACCAAAGTTCTCCCCTCATACTATCTGCATTGAACTTCATCTGTTGTCTACCCGTGCACTCCACCAAGTTTCCAATGCCCTTCTTTCTACACTCCTTCCTCACAATTTACAGTTCTGCCAAGTCTTATACTATCTGTGTACTTTGAAATTATCCCTTGCAAGATCTAGATTGTTTACATATGTCGGAAAAGGCAAGAGTCCCAATGCTAACTCCTGAGGATGTCAACTGCAAACCTTTCTTCAGCCCGAAGATTACCCATTATCTGTTATTCTGTTTATTAACCCTCAGCCAATTTTGTATCCACATTGCTTAATGTTCTTTTTATTCCACAAACTGACACTTTCCTAACAATTCTATCATTGCAACTTATTAAAACACTTTCTGGAAGTCTCTGTACACCACATTAACAGTATTGCTCTCATCAACAATCTCTGTTACCTGTTCAGAAAACTGCAGTAAATTAGACAATTTTCCTTTAACAAATCCACCCTGTCTGTCTTTACTTAACCCATGTTTGTCCATATTACTGTTAATTTATCCCAAATAATTGTTTCTAGAAGTTTCCCTACTACCAAAGTTAACTCAAATTATAGCCTGCTTCCGATGGGCTAGAATTATGATTTACTCATTTATTATCATATGTACCAAAGTACAGTCAAAAGCTTTGTTTACGAGCAGTACAGGCAGATCATAATAAGCAAGGATGTACAGATCAAAAAACTTAGAGGCATACAGGTTACATTGCATAGGGCATGCGCTAGGTGAGATCAATGTTAGCAGTTCTGAAGAAGGGTCACCGGACCCGAAACGTTAACTCTGTTTTCTCCTCCACAGATGCTGCCAGACCTGCTGAGCTTTTCCAGCAACTTTGTTTTTGTTCAATGTTAGCAAGATCAGCTTTATTTGAGGCTAGAGAGTCCATTCATCAGTCTAATAATGGTCGGGAAGAAGCTGTTCGTAAACCTGCTGGTGCACGTGTTCAGGCTTCTGTATCTTCTGCCTGATAGAAGAGGTTGTTGGGGATCATTACTGGTGTGTGATGGGTCTTTGATGGTAGCCTTTCCGTGGCAATGAGCCACATAAATGGAGTCCATGGATGGAAGGCTGGCTTCTATGATGGTCTGTGCTGTGCACACCACCTTCTATAATTTCTTACGGTCCTGGGCAGAGCAGTTGCCATAGCAGGCAGTTATACTCCCAGACAGTATGCTTTCAGTGGTGCATCTTTGGAAGTTGGTGAGGGTCTTTATGGACATGCCAAATTTCCTGAGCCGCCTGAGGAAGAGGCGGCGTTGTTGTGCCTTCTTGACTGTCATATCTACGTGGGAAGTCCAGGACAGGTCGTCGGTTATCATCACTCTGAGAAACTTGATGCTCTCCACCTTCTCAATTTAAGTTCCATTGATGTAGATGGGGGCGTGTTCTCCTCCTTTCTTTCTGAAGTCAATGATCAGTTCTTTAGTTTTGCTGACGTTGAGAGAGAGGTTGTTTTCATTGCACCATGTCACCAAGCCTTCTACCTCCTCCTATATTTTGACTCATCATTGTTAGATATCTGTCCAACTACGTTGGTGTCATCAGCGAACTTATAGATGACATTCGTTTGGAATTTGGCAACACAGTTATGGGTGTACAGGGAGTACCTAGGGGGCTGAGGACGCATCCTTGGGGGGCTCTAATCTTGAGTGTTATTGTGGCGGAGGTGCAATTACGTATCTTCACTGATTGCAGTCTGTGGGTCAGAAAGCGGAGGATCCAGTTGTAGAAGGCAGAGCCGAGACCCGGGTCACGCAGTTTTGAGATCAGTCTGGAGGGGATAATGGTGTTGGAGGCGGAGCTCTAGTCAATGAACAGGAGTCTGATGTAGGTGTCCTTGTTGTCCAGATGGTGCAGGGTTAGGGATATAACATCCGCTGTGGACCTGTTACGTTGGTAGGCAAATTGTAAGGGATCAAGGTGGGCTGGGAGACTGGAGTTGATGTGCGCCATGACCAGTCTCTCGAAGCACTTCATGATTATTGAGGTCAGAGCCACTGGGCAGTAGTCATTAAGTCACATTGCATGTGGTTTCTTAGGTACGGGGATGATGGTGGACTTCTTGAGGCAGGTGGGGACTTCGGCTTGTAGGAGGGAGAGGTTGAAGATGTTGGTGAATACCTCTGTCACTTGGTCCGCACAGGATCTGAGTGCTCGGCCCAGGATACGGTCTGGGCCCGTCACTTTCCTTGAGTTGACTCCCAGGAAGACTGATCTGATGTCTGCAGCGGTGATGGAAGGAACAGGTGTGTCTGGGGCTGTCGGGACAGGTGTCACCGTGCCACTGGTATTCTGCTGAAATCAAGCATACAAAGCATTGAGCCTGTCAGGGAGGGATGTGTCTTTGTCCGCTATCTTGCTGTGCTTCATCTTATATCATGTAATGTTGTTTAGGCCTTGCCATAGGTGGCGGGAGTCTATTTGGTAGGTTTGGGCCTCTAGGTTTGGTACTGCCTCTTGGCCTCCCCGATGGCTTGGCGGAGGTCA